CCAAGGAGAGTAGAGACCCTGATACATGTAGTAGACCAATTAAGTTCCGAATGGAGGGCTCAATTTTATTTTTGTTGGCAAAAGAAGGTCAATGTGGATATTTCTTCCGCCAAAATTGCTCTCGTATCTTTTTACATTTTGGATGCTTCTTCAACTGTCCTGAAGTGTAATCGTTTCTGTTTCTTTTCGCTTTTGTGTTGCATGGGTCGTAGAACATTGTATCAAATGTTTAATCAGAAGTAACGAAATTTACAGGGAAACTTTTTGTTTTTCTCATTACGAGCTGCCTTTCCATAAGTGTCACGATGCGGTGGAATCAAGTGCACGTCAATTTTTTAGCATAACTGTAGTTTTTAGAATCATCTTTAAGTTTGTTCAATTGTCTTGCTTTCGATGAAAAAAGTATCCTTCTATTTTCAATAGAAATTCAGATGTTGTGGCGTGAAAGAGGCGAAGGCCACCTATTCTCAGACGTAAAACAAGAGAGAAAATGGCCACCAAAGCTTGGTGACTTCCAAAGCTTGAGAGTCCTTGAAAACAAAATAAAAAATATTTTTTGTGCCTTTTATCAAAGCTTTTCAGTAAAAGCTACACCGCAGTGTGTTAAATGGACGTAAAAGGTGTAGAGTCAAAAAATTAAATTTCAACAAAGGGGAAGAAAAATAGCGTTTTCTTCGATTTCTGCATTTTGACGAGCTCCTGATTTCACCAGGTTGTCTCACATATAAATTATACATGTAATCAAATGACAAAAGTCTGTCATGTATTCTTAAAGTTTGGAACCCTATTTTCTGAAGAGTCAAGCATGGTATCCAGAAATTTCTATATCAATTAGAATACATCAAAAAAGCAACTTATTGTAGTAGTTTCATTTATAACATAAGACATTTCTAATTGCTTTAAAAATCGCCTTTGCCCAAAGCAGGGCGGTGTATTATATATTTACAGTGAAGCCCACTATAACTGAAATCTGTGGAACTGCTGGATTTTCTTGGATATATCTAGGTTTCTCGTTAACAGACGTTGCTCAAACACAAGGAAAAAATTGGGATTTTTTTTCCTTTTGTTTTACCTTGGTTATCGGATGAACCGAGTTTTGTTTAAGTGGACTCCACTGTATTTAATTTGCTCTTTGGGTATGATTTTTGTGTTTCTCTCAAGAGACTTGTGAAGGGGCGGAGACTTGTCTCGCTTATCGGGTCTGCATAAATATGTATGTATGTGGGTGGGTGGGAGAGTGGTGGGTCCTCTGGCGTGATTGACTCCTTCTTTCCTACCAAATATCTATCATTCTTATTTCTCCTACTTTTTTGTGCATGTTACTGTCTTGTAACACCTTTACTTTTCAGTACCTATGTGACCTTATAGTATTGCATGTGTCGTAGAACTCTTACTTACACAAACTAAGCGTGTTATAATTTATCTTTTTTCTTGTTGTGTGTATGCGTATGTGTAGAGGAACTTCGTAACACCACTGCCATTGTAAATGAATGAGATAACTTTCCCCCCTGTGAGACGGATAAATGATCGTCGTTATTTTTACGAGTTTACATTATGTCATTTCCTGTTCAAAGTTTAGTCAAGATTTAGTATGATATATATATATACTGGGATAAACATCAAAGTGGCCTAAATGGTCATTATGGTCATTGCATGTTCTGCAAAATTGGATAAGAGTCTTGCCCACTTTTTCGAAATGGATTTGTGGTTTTGAGTTCTGAGAATTGTGTTTTTTAATGAATGGAATTCCCTTACACAAGGGTGGGCAAACTTTTCGGATTAGGGGCTCTTCGGCTTGGCCAGGGGCACCAAAGGGCAGTAACTTTCGAGAAACTGGACTCATGCGTATCACTATCACTATCAGAGGGCAGAACATATTCGGAGACGTCTCCGGGCGAGCACCCAGGAACTATTCGGAGACGCACTCTCACACACAGATGCGCTGCTTTGGGAGGGGGGGGGGGGGTGTTTCAAACTGCGTATTATTTGCTGCAGATCACTCATATAGCCGCTAAAACTGTCGCAAATCAATCATTTTCAAGAAAATTTCAAACTTAACTGCAAAATATCAAAATATGGGTTAACACAGATGGCAACCCCCCCCCCCCCTGTAACCCCCAAGATTTTTTTACTTGGTCTAGGCACAAAGCATTTTGAATGGTCTATCTTCGTCCGAGACGTCTCCGGAGAGATACTGCTCTATCAGATGCTTCTAGCGTGGAAGACTGGCTGAATGTTCCGAATCTCATGAGTGATTTAAATTGTGTCGTTGGGGGTGTGAAAACATCTGTGTTATACCCTTTTCAAAACATAAATGATGACGTTGAGTTGTCTCTATTTCATAATTTCCTTTCAGTTACTGATTTTAGGGTAAATGTAAAGTATACACACTCCACCCTGCCTCATTTATATTGTTTCACATTAGTCCATTCTCACTTTATTTTCTTTACTTTTTTCTTTCTTTTTTTTCTTCTTTGGTTTGCTTTGTAAAGCCCACACAGAAATTTGATTTTAAATGGGCACAAAAGGTGGTGAGCCCGAAAAAAAAAAAAAGATAAAAATTGCCAAACTGCAGTTTCTTTGAAATTTCATTATTTTGACGACGCCTGATTTGACCACGATGTGTAATGCTTAGTTGTAGTGTGCTATTTTTGTGATGAGCTTCTTGGCCCAAAGTCAGATTCGGCAGTCGTATGTGGCGTTTGTGGTGTGGCGATTAGGCGCTTCTCCATCACACGCATAAGACTCGAGTTTGAATCCCGAGTGTGGAATGGGGAGATTTCCATCGCATCGATATCTTGGTATTTACTGTGATGTTGTATCCCTCTGGGCCCAGGTTGGATCTGACAAGTAGATTCCAAGCAGCCCGCCTCCTACATTATCTAAATTGTGTGTATGAAGGAGTAAAAACATCTACATTATTACTTTGTTCGTCTGTCGTTATAAGTGTAGTGGCGTTAGTTGTCCAATGGTTAAGCTTCTGGACTTGTCGTCAAGAGATTGGGGCTTTAGATGTTCGAGGTCCCGACCTATTGTGCCCTTGAGAAAAGCACTTTACCGTTCACGAATTTCCCACTTGGCTCGGTCCTTTCGGAGATGGACGTTTATCTCGGTGGTCCCGCCTTTTAAATAACAAAATAGTGTTAAAAGGGGCGTTAAAAATCAAATGCTCAAACAAAAATAAATAAATTTGCAATTTTCAAAAACACCTATGATTTGGAAGTCACCAAATTCGGCGGCTCTTTTTTGCTTAATTTTACCTCTGATATCAGGCGATCCCCCACCTCCTTTGTTCGCAAATACCGAACTTGTATTCAAGATTGAGGGGCCGTTTTTATGGGTGACTCGTGGGTTAAGTTTTTTTTTTTTTTTGGGGGGGGGGGGGCGCAACTTCTACGTCTCCAATTATTGAAATCATTTGCTGATAGAGTGTGGTTAAGGGGGGGGGGTCACCTTGTACTCTTGTCGATTTTGGACCACCAAGGGATTTTTAACGTGTGCAACTTGTATCAGGGACCTCCGAGGTTGTTTGCCCTTATCCGAGAAGGCTAGGTGTTAGATCTTATTTATCATAAAATCAGGGGTGTGGCTGAAAGACAGCAGGAAGAATGAGCCAAAGAGTAGTATAAGAAAGGCTGCAGAAAGAGTCGGGAGCCCAGAGGAGGGGGTAAAGGAGGTAAGAGGGTGGGAGCAGAAAATGGAGACGAAAGCAGACGACAGGACATTGTTAGAGAGCAGGAAAGGAGGTGAAAGGAGAAAATTTTAGAAAAGAACATTTTCAGTCTCTGTCCGGATTCGAACCCGGGACCTACTGAATGAGAAGCAAACACCTAAACCTCTCGACCTCGAGAGCACCCATGTATTTGTTTGTGACCTAAATTTCCCCTTGGGGATAAACATTTCTTTAGCTGTTAGTGAAAGAGCGTAAATCTTTGAATCCCATTTTCTCAAAACTGCGTCTTATGAATTCAGATCCCCGTCATTCTAAGGGCATGATTTATAAATAGTTTACATCTCTTTTTACACAACAGAGATCTAAACGAATACGAGAACACATAAAAAATGAAAGAACAAATAGCTAGTCGGATGGAAAACGAGGTTCTTCGTGTAATTTCTTGTTAGATCATCATTTGCCATCATATCTGGCATCATAAACGTAAAGTCTGCTTTTTTTTTTCGATCATGAAAATCATTATCATTGCGTACTGCAGTCCCCTCGTATTGTTTCGCTTGCTGCAGCTTTTAATATTTTGCTACAATGATATGAGATCTTGGTGGATAGGCACAGTAGAGTCCGCATTAACCGAAATTCACGGCACCGTCTGATTTATTTCGGTCAATCCGAGTTTTCGGTTTAGAAAGATTGCTGAAATAGCGAAGAGAAATAAAAAATCAAACACGCGCGCACACTCAAAAACAACATTAAAAAACAGTGGATTCTATTTCCTTTCGGTTTAACCGCTGTTTTCGGATGAACCGTGTTCGGTTTAAGCGGACTCCACTGTACGAATGCGCCATACATTCTAGTAGTAGTAGTAGTAGTGGCTTGGACACTTAGTTGCTGCTGCAGACGCCGCAGAATTTACGGCAGAGTCTGTGTCCATCGGCGGCCACTTCACAGATCGGGTGAGAGGTTTGGTTCATCAACATGCAGTCGACGGCGGTGAGCACGTCGTCGCACTGGTAGTCGGGGGCCTCGGGGCAGTTGCCTGTCTCGTCACTGAGGTCACCACAGTCGTCATCGCCGTCACACCTGTGGAGAAAAAAATAATAGTATAAATGGTGAAATGGTATAGAGTCTTACCTCTAACATAATAACAATAATAATAA